ATAATCCCCCCCCCCCCCCCCCCCTCCCGCCGGGCTCCCTTCTGCTTACCCCCGCAGCTGGGACTCCTACCTCATCCACACCCTGCAGAGCTGCCCGTCCTTCAAGCCGATCCTAACCACGTACCCGGTGGGGTACCAGCTGCCGCACAAGATCCCGGCGGGGGAGACCAGGCCGACGCTGCTTGTCCCCGACGGCTTCGGGCCGGACGGGATGCTGCGCCAGACGGGCAGGCTGCTCCTGCGGAAGGCGCGCGACCCGCTGCCTTCTCCGCTTTGGGCCTCGGGGTTCAGCTTCAGCGCGAGCGCTGTGCTCGTCGAGGTCAGCAGGACTGTCTTACGCTTGTATTCAGCACGCTACCGCTGCGTGTTCGGCCTGCTGCTGCGTGTTCGGCCTTTTCGTCCGACACTGTCAAAGCTCCGGAGCCGAAGGGGGTAGGTGGGCGGGGGTACCTGGCGTGTCCCGGGCGGGCTGCCGACAGGAAAGACTGCCCGCGCGTCCCTGCGTTTGTTGTGATGCGGTCCTCAAGCAAGCTTCGAGGCGACAAGCACATGTGCGGCAATGCGTGCACACGCTCCTTGCGCGAATCTCTCCCTCCCAAGATACCCTTGAGCGGTTGCGACACACACACACACACACACACACACACCACGCACACCGTCACAGATCCGCCGCTTAGAGCGAAGCCTGGTTCGTGACCGCTCGTGCGGGCGTCATGTGCTCACGCTGACGAACTCGCCACAACCAATTTCGCAACCTTTTGCCCGGCCCCGCCTTGCAGGTGCCCTACGACCCGGGTCTCAGGCACTCGTTTTTCGGTGAAGAGGCCTCGATGGCGGCGCGTATGTTCACCCGGGGTTGGGACTTCTTTGCCCCCCCGCAGGCGGTGGTGTATCACCTCTGGACCAGAGGGCACCGTGCCAGCTTTCGGCAGGTGACTTCTGTCATGGCAGGGCGCAATATTACCAGAGGTTAAAGGTTTCGACCACGGACGATGGCACGGTTTCGTTCACTAAATAGCGAGCAAAACGTCGTTCCCTAACAAAGATTCCCCGAATTTTCCTCGTGGGGCGAAATTTTCGGGGTAGAAAAGGTAGATTAGGAAGTGGTCGTTCCTCGCCCCTTCAGGAAACGGTACTTGCAAACCTACGTGGAAGTTAGTGTGCGGGATTGATAAACTCTCGTGCAGGAAGCTAGGCAGCGCTTGCAGCACTTCCATCCTTATCTCATCTTCGGCGTCTTGAGCATCGCGCCCTACTGTAACAAGCAGATATCGTTTCTTGTTGATGTGAACCACCGAACGAACGAACGAACGGACGGTTGCAAGCAGAACTCAACGAAAGAGGCCGAGGCGGAAGAGGCAGCCGCGAATCGTCGGCTCCGCTGGCTACTTGGTGGCGGCGGCACCACCTCTTCTTCCTCGCCGCCGGGAAACGGAAACGGTGGTGAAGGCGAGGGCAGCACCGACGGGGACCACGGCGGAGCCGCAGAGGGTGGTTTCTCGGAGGGTAAGGAGGAGGAGGGGCAGGAAGCCTGGGGGCAACAGGGGAGCGGGGAGGATGAGCAGCACTGCTATTTCGCCCGTCCTGGTGAGAAGAAAACTTGCAGACGCTGCTGTGTTGTATCGTCTGTCGTATCGCTCGTGATTCGACGCCTTCGACAGCGTCGACGAAACGGCAACCGCGTCAGAGACTAACATAACAATCCCTTAGATTTGGACTGAAAAGTGCTATTTTGTGCTTGGATTGGTGTCGAGGCAGATTGATTGGTGTTTCTCTTGAGCCAGCGAACGAGAAGAGAAGGGGAGCGCTGTGATCTGTTTTGTTGTTTTGCCGTGGCTGAGGTTTGCCTACCGGTGTGACACGCACGACTCGTACGGTGCAGGGTACATATGTAGAGGGGGGGGGTCATGGTCGCCAGAAGAAGTTTCGGAACGCTACACACCGAGCTACTAGAGTGCGGCAGCCGGTTGTGTCAATTCTCTCGTTCTGCGGAGACCGTCAGGCTACAGGGCCTGGTGTACACTCTCAAGAAATATCTTAGCACCCAATCTACCCGACCAGTATCATGCAAGAGATGAAAGACTAGAGAAATGGGGCCCGCCATCAGGGAAATCTGTCGCGGAATATGGTCACCGCTCGGATCCTGCTTCGCTGGCGACTTCAATGCGTGTCGGTCGAACTCTCCGGCAAAGACCTTTCTCGTTTCCCAGAAGCCTGACGACCGCTACCTACAAGTACCACACAGTTTTTTTTTCTGTTTGTAGCTGAGGAGCAACCGGCAGACGACTGCGGCATACAGTTTGCGTCGCTGCACTTCCGAGATGCGTGGTGGCATGTTGCGTGGCTCCCATATGCGGCCTGCAGAGTCAACAGTCCCTTGTCAACACCGAGGTACTGCTTTGGTTTCTCTCCCTGGCATCAGGCTCCGATATCAGAGTCTCCGATACCAAACCTAGGTCCAAGTTGGGCAGTAGCCACAACCTGGTACAGGTAAAACTCAGCGCGAATAAACCCTCAGGGAGCTACTTAATTCGCCAAAATGCCATCGTACCCACAAGTTGTATATGTGCAACGAAGTCGAAACGATCCCGACTGCTTACTCACCCCCTCTGAAACAGGCGACGAGTTCGGTCTCGGCACCGCGCGGACGCTGCAGTCCTTCGAAGACCGCGTTGGCGTAGACTTCCGGACGGCGACAGTGACGTCACCAAGCGCCAGGAATTCCGGCAGGCCTTCAGCCGACTTCAACGACAGCGTAGCGTCGGGACTGGAGGGGGTGCTCGGCCTTCTACAGGGGAACCTTAAAGGCCCGTGAGGCAGCAAGCCGGGCGCGGGGCGTGCGCGAGACGGGGCTTGGTTTTGATTGGGTTGATGCCCGCCCGCCGATGGGAGCGGGGACGCGCGCCCGGTAGCCCCGGAAGGAAATACCAGGCGGTTCTCGTGTGACAGTGACGTTATTTGATACTAATAGACATCGCCCGCTCTTGTCCTGCACGGAGGGGGGGAGAAGTAAAGGTCAACCTAGGGGGGTTGCAGTATTTGGAGGCGTGCTGATGCCAGGTTGGCGTGTTGTCCACGAGCCACTTTTTTACTGGAGAGGTGCATTATTGGAAAGTTGCCCGTCTCGACGCGAGTTTGTTGAGGGTCTTCGTGCGCTGACCGAGTGGTTTACTCATCTTGGATAGCTTCCAGGCGCAATAGTTTTGTTTCGGCGTGCGCAGACAGGCAAATTTCGCGCGAAATCCAGGGCTGGTCTTGTACACACAGGCAGGCCCAAATTGATGACTAGCGGGAGGAAGCGACCATCCCTCCCTCCCTCCCTACAAAAACTGCAACAGACCACGGAACCTGTTCCGAACGCGACCTCCCGTTCCCCGTTGCTTCTACTGCTGTCTTGTTTCCCAAGTGAGTTGTTGTGCACGTGGTGTATTCCCTCGCTTTTGGCTTTGGCCACCGGTGTTCAAGCACCCGGATGGCAATACGCACCATCCCCCCCGTGGAGTACAGCCCGCAATACTCCGCATTCTTGCTGCCGTCAATCGAAGTCTGAGCCGAACTGGCTTCTTTTTCTGCCCGCTTGTTGTGCCCACAATTGTTGTGCGGACGATGTATTGAGGTCTACACCATCTCCTCCTCGGTGTACTGCTTCACCTTGGTACGGACGGTGCCAAAGCATGGACTTTTGGGGCACCCGGTGGGGCTACATGTGGACAAAATAAATCGACTGCGTCGTGTTGGTCCATCTCTCCCTCTGGCAAATATTTGTAGTGTTACCGGGCACCGTGTTTACATGTATGTTCAAAAACAGCGATGAAGTCAGGATATTTGTACCAAGGGCGTAGGTGCCGATATCCGGCCCTGACCGAAGGAAAGGGAGAAATACGCAGCCTATCTTTCTCTGGTCGCGTTGAGATGCTGGTGTCCGCGCTGCGAGCCGTGCCGCCGTGCGTGCCACTTTGAGCGGCGGGCGGCGGCCAGGGTACCCAAACCTCCAGCAGTACACTCCGTTGCACCCCCTCGCCCCAGATGATCCAAAGACACATCATTGATTGCACCATCTGCTGGAGCACCACACGCGGAGGGGAGCGAAGTGCTGCTCGTGCTGTCGCGTCCTTGCACGCTGCACTCAACCCGGAACGGACCATGTCCGCTCAGCAATTGGAGCTCGCGGTGCTGTACGCCTACAACCCTCCCGGTGCTGGGGAGGAGGCGGCTGCTGTGAAGGCCCAGGTGCGGCGCGATCAAGCTCAGCAACAAGGGGATGATGGGACCTCTGGTTTGCCGTCAGTGCAACTGCTGTGCTACTGCTGTGCTACTGCTGTGTTAGCGTGTTAGCATCCCCAACTTTGTTCGTTGGTTCCCGAAGCCACTGTGTAGTGCTGTACTTGTCTGCTCGCAGACTGCTGTGGTGTATGTGTACTCTCGCTGTCGGTCGAGTGCTGCTGTGTGTCCTTGCGGCTCTGCTGCGCCTGCTGCTGATGCAGCCAGCCGATCAGGCAGGCAGCGGCAGTCATGATGATGCAATCATGATGGCACCAGCGCCTTGATGCAGTTGCACAATTGAACCAATGTACTCTCGCAGAGATTGGCCTGTCCGCCCTCGCTGCTACTGCTGGGTGCAGACAGAGAAACGAGAGCGGCGTGTAGAAGCGGCAAGTAGCTTAGAGGGGGTCCGCAGACTGTTGACTAAACATACTTTACATTCTGCACTAAGCCGGTCGCCCCGGTGGTCTAGTGGTATCCTCGTAAACCGCTTGTTGCAGAGGTCGTGAGTTCGAATCCCCATGGGGTGAAAAATTTACAAACGTGTAGTACATGTCTCACCACGAAAAATGGGGGGGCTGTCGCCATAATAAATAGGACGAAAATACACACACACACAAACTCGAGCAATTGCACGCGGTGGACTATAGCCGCTGATGAAGGGAGTGATAGAATGGCCCTTCAAAGTATGAAAAAGGCAGCGTTACAAGCATTTTAGGGACTGCACACAAAGAAGTATAGTCGATGCTACTTGGCCACCTCGAAGAGTATGTGTACCTCCGCATGTACATACGGTCTCGCCAATCGTCTTTCGCTTATGTTCCTCGCAAACCTTCAATTTTGTATGCATACCATACCTGCGGGTTGGGTTCGATCCCTGGAGGTTTTCTTTGCCTGCATTGGAAAACGATTCGTTTCTTGACTGTTCGCCATTCGACTTCACGGCTGAACCCTTCTCGCGATAACAATTCCTGTATGGACTTCCTCCTGCGAGACCCAACTACAACGCGCACGTACGTCAAGACATACACACGGAGAGGTGTGTAGCCTGGCCCTGGAATACATGTGACGAACACACACACGCTCGTTCGAAGGCTACAGGATAACCCACCACGCACATGGTACCAATTTCAACCAAGACACCAAAGCCCCTTTCCTTCTCCGCGATCGCCGTGTTCCGCGGTCCGGCCACAGGGACGACCCAGCCTATACCCCCCCCCCGAAACCGCCGCCATGTTTCGCCTACCCAACTAGGCAACTCGGTATTGCGAGGAGGTCAAGGGCAGCCAAGACGGCTGGCGGCTGGCTCTGGAGCTGTTTCGCGTAACCGTTCGTCCGGAGGCCCGGTTCTTCTGCCTGGGCTGCCTCCAGGACGCGCTCGGCGCGCGGGCCGGCGCCCGGAGGAGGGTGGAGTCTCAGCACGACCGGTTTCTCATCAGAGAGGCGGTCATGGGTTGGTTGACTCAGGTCGGCGGGGGCGGCGGGGCGGAGCTCGATGCCCAGGAGACGTTCATTCGCACCAAGGTATTGATTTGATTGGCTGCATTTCGTTGTTGAGTACTGCTGCTCGCGCCTCTGCGTGGCTAATACTAGTTGATCTTGCTGTTTGTGGCGTGTAGACGCGAATCACTGCTGTAGTGCTCTGAACTTGGCAAGGATAGGACACATGGCCATGGCGGTGGTAGCAAGCAACCAAGAACCGGTCCCTCTTGTTGAAACGGACAGGACCCGTTAGGTGGGCATTTAGGCCGTTTTGTGATCCGTGGGGAAAACGTGCGATAGGGCGAGCAGGTGATCGCAGGCACGGTGACCACATCATAAGTTCTGCAGCTCCAATCCCCCCCTCCCCCAAGCCCTGTCGGGCCTGCCGAATGTGAAACGTCTGGCCAACTGGGATGCCCAATCATCCATGGCGTATCCATGGCGTATCTGGTTTGGTATTATACTGGGAAGCAAGGATGGATTACCAGCTTCTGGTTCATCCTTAGTTGTGAAACGTAGCCTGGACCGGCGAACACCCGGCATATGTATCTACCGACCACGGCCTGCATTTACACGTGAACCCCCCCCCCCCCCCCTCCCCATTCCTTCCTCTTCTTGACTCAGGTCGCCGTAGTCCTGGCCCTTTTAGTGAAGAGCGACTATCCGGAGACTTGGACGGACGCTTTCGAGCAGCTGCGGTCGGTGCTGGTTGTTGGCAGCAGCAGCAGCGGTGATGCCGCCGCCGCCGCAACAGGCGCGGGCGGTGGAGGGAGGAGCGCGGCCGCGGCGCGCGCGCACGTGGAGCTGTACCTTCGGGTCCTCTGTGCGCTGGATGAGGAGGTGGTTAGCTTTCATGTCGATCGCTCACGGGAAGAGGCGGACCACAACTCTCTCATCAAGGTGCGCATGTCGGGGGGGGGGGGGGGGGGG